TTTTTGTTCAAAATTCTATCCATCTATGGATTTCCTAAGACGTTTTGTGTTCAAAATTCTATCCATCTATGGATTTCCTAAGACGTTTTGTTCAAAATTCTATCCATCTATGGATTTTCTAAGACTTTCCTAAGAATTTCTGTTCAAAATTCTATCCATCTAAGGATTTCCTAAGAATTTCCTAAGAATTTTTGTTCAAACTTCTATCCATCTATGGATTTCCTAAGACTTTCCTAAGAATTTCTGTTCAAAATTCTATCCATCTATGGATTTCCTAAGAATTTCCTAAGTATTTTTGTTCAAAATTCTATCCATCTATGGATTTCCTAAGAATTTCGTAAGTATTTTTGTTCAAAATTCTATCCATCTATGGATTTCCTAAGACTTTTTGTTCAAAATTCTATCCATCTATGGATTTCCTAAGACTTTTTGTTCAAAATTCTATCCATCCATGGATTTCCTAAGACTTTCCTAAGAATTTCTGTTCAAAATTCTATCCATCTAAGGATTTCCTAAGAATTTCCTAAGAATTTCTGTTCAAAATTCTATCCATCTAAGGATTTCCTGAGACTCTCCTAAGAATTTTTGTTCAAAATTCTATCCATCTATGGATTACCTGAGACTTTCCTAAGAATTTTTGTTAAAAATTCTATCCATCTATGGATTTCCTAAGACTTTCCTAATAATTTTTGTTCAAAATTCTATCCATCTATGGCCATCTGCCTTGCTGGCTTTTTCTTGCACTCCTTCATTTCTCTAGGACTTGATTGAGAAGAAGCCTTCTCCTAGACCCGGCTCTCGATGACAACCAGCACCTTACTTCTATTTCAATCTTGGCTTCTTTGCTTCTAATGTGGGTTTGGTTTTCGTGTGACAACGTCACATTGGGCGTGTTTTTTTACTATTCATAAGTGGGCATGAACACGTCCAAGAGCCAGCCCACTGAATGTGCATGGTCTCGAAAAAAAAAGGGCTGCAGTGACGTAGGGACTTTTTTTTTATAGGTCCCTCCCACACAAGCAAGGCTTGAGAAGACAACAGGAACTGCCAGGAGGTCAGTGTACACCAGGAGAGGTTTATGTTATACTACTTTTTAACGATTCATGATCAGGAAGTGAAGGGGGTTCCAGGGAATGTACGTATTCGTGACAATAAACTTCATCTGTAATCTGCAATGTGGGCATGGAAGATTGTCCAACCTCTTATGAAGTTGACACATTTTGGGGGGGATTTACTAAAACTGGAACACTCAGAATCTGGTGTAGCTGGGCATGGTAGCCAATCTGCTTTTAACTTCAGCTTGTTCAGTTAAGCTTTGCCAATCAAACCTGGAAGCTGATTGGGTTCTATGTAGGGCTGCACCATGCAGTTTTGGTTAATAACCCACCTTGGGTCATGAGTGGGCAACAGTCATGTATGGTTGGGATTGTGAACCCTCCGTGCACCTTGCATGCTGGATGGTGGTGTGCTTGGAGCATGCTACAGCTGACCTGGTACTAGGATTGCCACCTCAGCCCTTTAAAACCGAACACATATTCATTACACAGGTTTCAGGGCTGATTAAGGTGGTCATTACACTCAGTTGGTGCCTTATCTGCAATAAAGTAGCCTCAGAACTTGTATAATTAATGTGTTTGGGATGAGCTGGCAACCCTACCTGGTACAGCACAAGAGACAAAGACCTTGGATGGAATGGAATAATGGACTCACCAAAATAGTAGGAGTATAATGCAGCACTGGGGTGCTGGTCTTACAGGCAGGCAGGACACAGAATACTCATAAGAGGCACTTTACTGCATTGGGGTGCAGGGCTCATAGGGAGACAGGAGTATCTTACAGGAACACAGATAACAATATGTATGATATACATGAAAGCGTACAGGGATTGCAGGTACACAGAAAATACAGAGGAGGTGCAGAATGAGAGAGATCTACCAAAACTGGAGCACTCAGAATCTGGCGCAGCTGTGCATGGTAACCAATCAGCTTCTAACTTCAGCTTGTTCAATTAAGCTTTGACAATAAAACCTGGAAGCCAATTGGCTGCACCAGTTTTAGGAAATCTCCCCCAAGGAGTCTAGAACAGGAAGGATACCTATTGGTACTATCTGGAGAGAACCCAGCCTGCCCTCATATACAGGGAAGGTAAGGGCCAAGGTGCAGGGTCTAAGGAACTGCCTGGCCTTCTCCAGAGCTCCTAAAGGTTGAAACAGGTTGCTTTGTGGATGATCCCCAGGATACAGTCCTCTGACTCACCCAAGTAGGCAGCTGCTGGGAACTAAGAGCTGATAATCAGATGAGAATCCCTTGCAGCGCTGAAGCACAGGGATCACAGAACAGTAGGGAGTACTGCCCAAGCTGGCAGGTATGCATAGAAACTGGGAACAGGTACACAGAGACACACGGGACAGCTAGAAGTGAGTAGCAATGCAAAGAGGGACAACCAGAATCTCTAGGAGCAGCTAGAATGGCACCTGGACACAGCAGGAAACAGACTAGAAATACACTGCGGGGACACAGAAGCAGACTGCAGACACAGGTGATACTAACAAATAGCAGACAGGAATTAACAGGTGATCACAAAGGGGCTGGAAGGCTGAAAACTGGCAAAGGTACACAGACACTGACATGTTCAAAGGACACATCAAGGACAAGGAAAAAGGTTGCAAGCAGGAACACGCTAAAAGTCACTGGAGACAGGCTGGAAGACACGGGGGGGGGGGGGGGGGGGGGGGGGTACAGAGATCACACTGGAAGGCACTGGGGGGGGGGGGGGGGGGGTACAGAGATCACACTGGAAGGCACTGGGGGGGGGGGGGGGTACAGAGATCACACTGGAAGGCACTGGGGGGGGGGGGGGGTACAGAGATCACACTGGAAGGCACTGGGGGGGGGGGGGGGGTACAGAGATCACACTGGAAGGCACTGGGGGGTAGATCACACACACTGGAAGGCACTGGGGGGGGGGGGGTACAGAGATCACACTGGAAGCACTGGGGGGTACAGAGATCACACTGGAGGGAAATGGGGGTACAGAGAAGCACACTGGAGGTACAGAGATTGCATGGGGGGGGGGGGTACAGAGCTCACACTGGAAAGGCACTGGGGGTACAGAGATCACACTGGAAGGAACTGGGGGTACAGGGATCACACTGGGGGTACAGAGATCGCACACTGGGGGGTACAGGGCTCACACTGGAAGGCACTGGGGGGTACAGAGAGCACTGGAATGCACTGGGGGTATAGAGATCACACTGGGGGTACAGAAAGCACACTGAAAGGTACTGGGGGGTTCAGAGCACACTGGAAGGCACTGGGGGGTACAGAGAACACACTGGGTGTGCAGAGCTCACACTGGAAGGCGCCGGGGGTGCAGAGCTCACACTGGAAGGCATTGGGGGTACAGAGATCACACTGGGGGTACAGAGATCACGCTCGAAGGCACTGGGTGGTACAGAGCTCACACTGGTAGGCACCGTGGGTACAGAGATCGCACTGTGGGTGCAGAGATGACACTGGAAGGCGCTGGGGGTGCAGAGATGACACTGGAAGGCGCTGGGGGTGCAGAGATGACACTGGAAGGCGCTGGGGGTGCAGAGATGACACTGGAAGGCACTGGGGTGCAGAGATGACACTGGAAGGCACTGGGGGTACAGAGATCACACGGGGTGGTGCAGAGATGACACTGGAAGGCACTGGGGGTGCAGAGATGACACTGGAAGGCGCTGGGGGTGCAGAGATGACACTGGAAGGCGCTGGGGGTGCAGAGATGACACTGGAAGGCGCTGGGGGTGCAGAGATCACACGGGGCGCAGAGAGTGGGGTGCAGAGATGACACTGGAAGGTGCTGGGGGTGCAGAGATGACACTGGAAGGCACTGGGGGTGCAGAGATCACACGGGGTGGTGCAGAGATGACACTGGAAGGTGCTGGGGGTGCAGAGATGACACTGGAAGGCGCTGGGGGTGCAGAGATGATACTGGAAGGCGCTTGGGGTACAGCGATCACACTGAAAGGCATTGGGGGTACAGAGATCACACTGGGTGGTACAGAGATCATGCTGGAAGGAACTGGGGGTACAGAGATCACATTAGAAGGAACTGGGGTACAGAGATCACACTGGGGGTACAGAGATCATACTGGGGGTACAGAGATCATACTGGAAGGCGCTGACAGTTAGGAATAAGGAGAATACAACTACAGGATCACTAGGAATATTGGGGTCACTATAAGTCTCTCAGAATGTAGAACGTTCCAAGCATAGGGGGCGCTAGGAATCTTCTCAGGAATCCAGGTACATGAGGAAGCACTGTGGGTACACTAAGAATCTTCTTGCACATCACTGGGGGACCTGGCATTAGGAACCATAGCTGTTTTTCAGGCAAAGCCTATGGGAATGAGCCAAGCTTAAAGAGGAACTGATCATTTATACAAAAATTAAGTCCGCAGCTACAAAGACCATACCAATAAATATACACTTACCAATCCAGGAGTCCAGCGCCGTCATCCCCCAGGTAAGGTGGTTTTGGTTGAGTGGAACTTCCCAGTTTAGCTGAATTTCCACTTTAAACAAAATGCGATGACCGAGCTGGGCTGGGAGTTTAATCTAATGCATTAACCGCATGTAGCTAACACAAGTTCTGTGGGATAATGGCAGAACCTTGCAAGTTGGAGCTCCAGGTAACCAGCTTACCTGCTGATCCTTGGGAATGGAGGAGATGAATTGACCAATACAAATGTTGCTTCCATTTCATCATCTTAGCTCAGAGGTCTTTATCCTCTTATGTTCTCCAAATGACTAAAATTTTGGCCCCGCTGATTGATTAGTAGCCGTCATAATGAGCTACAATCAGATTCTAGGTGAGTCAAGGATTTATTATAGGGGCTTACACTGCTAACCAGACCATGTTACCTTTCCTTTGCCCAGGCTCCTCGATTTAATGTTGTGCTGTAATCCTTTTTTTTTTTTTTTTTTTTTTTTTTATTTTTTTTCCCCAAAGGATGTCTTCTCCCGAAATCTCCAGGATCTCCTGGGGCAGTATGAGTGTTGGTGGACAGCATTATAAAGACTGCAAGGTGTGGCCAGGAGGAAGCAGAACCTGGGACTGGAGGGAGACTGGAACTGATGTAAGAGTTGATGCTCAATTTATGTATGTGTGCTTCCCTATAGTGCCGGTTCTATAATGCATTAGTATGCAGCACCTGGATCCAGTTGTCAATAGAGATTCTGTCTACGGACTGTTACAGGCACCTGGTCCCCCTCCACTCCCCGCATGTGTCTCTCCATCCCATACCACTCACATTCAGGGAGATATGCACCCTGAGCCCCATTCTGTGCCCAGTGCCTCGAGGCAAAAAAACTCTCAATCAACCCTTTGCACACTACTACACATGTGTAAACATATTCAGCAAACTTTGCATAGAAAGAGAAATTTTGGTTCACATACATTGCAATGTGTGCGATATTGCTGCATGGGAACCTACGGGTGGTGTCACTGCTTCCAGAATTCCCAGCCACTGTTGAGCGCTCTCTCAACCCTGCACTTTCTTACAGAGTTTAGTCAGCAAAGCTATAAACTTGGCCTACCTTAAAAGTGTCGGCCAGTAGGGCAGTGGACGGTGTCGGCCAGTAGGGCGGTGGACGGTGTCGGCCAGTAGGGCGGTGGACGGTGTCGGCCAGTAGGGCGGTGGACGTGTCGGCCAGTAGGGCGGTGGACGGTGTCGGCCAGTAGGGCGGTGGACGGTGTCGGCCAGTAGGGCGGTGGACGGTGTCGGCCAGTAGGGCGGTGGACGGTTGTCGGCCAGTAGGGCGGTGGACGGTGTCGGCCAGTAGGGCGTGGACGGTAGTCGGCCAGTAGGGCGGTGGACGTGTGTGTCAGTAGGGCACTGGGGCGGTGGACAGTCAGTAGGGCTGTGGGCTGTGTCTGTCAGTAGGGCTGTGGGCGGTGTCAGTAGCTTTTTTTTTTCCCCTAAAAAACATTTTTTTTTGAAAATACAAAAACAAAATTGTAACAGCCCTGTTGGGGGGCTTTGGTGAAATATCAGGGGTCTAAGCAGGCCCCTGATGTCTCTTTCAAGAAACAGAAAGTGAATGAGGATACAGACAGGAAGAGCTTTGCACAGACTCCCTGTTCATTTACAAACTGGAGGCATAGTAAACACTGTTTACTATGCTTCAGTTATGAATGAGCTCAGTGAGTGATCAGTACCAATGGGTGGCTCCATGCCTTGAGTGTACCTATAGAACTACTTTTACGTGTGCACTTCTGGGAGAGAAATGCTGCTTTTGCTGTACTACACAGGTAGTAACAGAGGGAGAGGTCATGCATGGTGCCTGAACTAAAGGGACATGTATTCTTGAGGAGGGGATTCAAAGTTTGTTCCTGTGTTATTAATGCGCACTTTGACTGGACATTTGAGGAGGCAGCGCAGACCGGAGGCTCTGCTACTGAGCACATCAAACTTTCTTTGTGCACTTTTTACTTTCAATACTTTTATTATCATTTATATATAAAGAAACTGTTCATACAAGATGAGACATCATCCAGACCATGGTCTCCAAACTGCAGCCCGAGGGCCAGATGTGGCCCCACTGGTCTTTATCCAGCCCTTGGGGCACTGTTCCTTTCCTACAGATATGGGGCACAATGATCGTGAAGCTCATTCCTCCACTGATACACTAATGGGGCACTATTTTCCTTACTGACACCAATGGCGGGGCACTATTCCTCCACTGACACCAATGGCGGGGCACTATTCCTCCCACTGACACCAATGGCGGGGCACTATTCCTCCCACTGACACCAATGGCGGGGCACTATTCCTCCCACTGACACCAATGGCGGGGCACTATTCCTCCCACTGACACCAATGGCGGGGCACTATTCCTCCCACTGACACCAATGGCGGGGCACTATTCCTCCACTGACACCAATGGCGGGGCACTATTCCTCCCACTGACACCAATGGCGGGGCACTATTCCTCCCACTGACACCAATGGTGGGGCACTATTCCTCCCACTGACACCAATGGCGGGGCACTATTCCTCCCACTGACACCAATGGTGGGGCACTATTCCTCCCACTGACACCAATGATGGGGCACTATTCCACTCTCTACTGATCACCAATGTAATTTTTTTTACTCCCACTGACAACCACGTGGTTGGTATGGAGATCCTGACTAGACAAAGCAATTAAATACTGGGCACTAGGTACCTCCCCATCGGGTGAAAACCTTCAGGATAGCTTCTGTTAAGGCCACATTCATGATACCAGTAAATGATCTTAGGAAGCATTTATCCCCAAAAGTCAATGGTGGGGCACTTTGTCCCCACTCTAGGAACTATCCCTTCCCACTAAAATATAAGAAAATTCAGGAGGGGTGCACAAAAGTAGTCCATAAATGAGATATGCTGCCCCGCTGACCTGAGTCATGTGGGGCACACCATTTCTCATATGGGGGGACACTCTATAGGGAATCTGTCCCAATCTGGCCAGATGGAACGTAGGCCACTGACACCAATGGTGGGGCGAGATCTGGAAATATCAAAAATGATCAGTATGAGGCATCCTCACAAAATCCGATTCTATAGAGCCCTTTTTATAAAGCCACCACTTGAATCCCTTAATGGTGGGGCACCTGTCCCCCAGGAGTAGTGGGTAATTAAAAATATGTGCTAGGGGGCTAAACACTCCCTACTGATCCTAAAGTATGATTTTTCTCTCCTACTTCCACCAAGGGTGTTTAGGGTGATGGAAGATCCCATGAAACGGAAATACGTTACCTTCAGGATAGCCTACGCGTTAAGTCCACATTAACCAGACGTGGCTCCTCGGAAGCACCAAAATCTCAACACTATCCTCTTGCAAATTTGAATCCAACGGATCTTCTTCGGAAATTCACAGTTTTTGTACATTTTTTATAGTCATTATTATATCATGCTGGCACTATAGTTTTTTCATAAATAAGTTTTTTTGACTCTATTGCACGTAACACAAGATAACGTGGATGTGATTTACAATATCCCAAATTTGGGGATTCACAAAACTAAGTGTTCGATTCATTCACTTTCGCAAAACCTGTCCGATTCTATACTGACGTGTCACTTTAGTGTATTTCAAATTGAAAATATTTTATGGGTTTCACTTATGTATTTACTTTTATTTGTTTATGATGGTTTTTGGGATTAGTCTGATGTCACTTATAAAGTGGGATTTCAATCCAATTAGTGGATCAGGTCACTTTATTTTCACTATGTATAGACCATCTATGGGAATATTTTGTTTTTCACTTTTAATTCATCACTGGAGCAAGCAGTACATTAGTGATGGCCTTTTCCATGTGTCCTAGAAGCCACTATCCACAAGAACACAAGCTTTGACATCATTTGTGTTTTCTTGTCTATTCTACATCTATAGAAAAAAGCTATTATCGTGATTAGGTCATATTCACTATTGTCACTGAATGAACGCTCTTTGTTTTAGGGGATAGATCACCATTTCACAAGACTATATTTGGAAACTCGGTTTATGCCAAGGGCCTTGTCAAATAAATATATACCCTGGTACCTATATATTTTATAGGCTTCTTTTTACTAGTTGGGTAACTGTTTTTTTCAATCAGGGGGTTGCTATTATTAGTATTTACCATATTTTGACTATGTGATATTGTGAAATTGGTTGGGCATTAGGCAGCACCATTTCATTTTCATTTTAAAAATAAGTACTTTGTGGGCTATAGCTTGGGTAGAGGGTGAATATTGCAACAATAGTGTGTTTCTATGTTCTCTTTTAATGGACTACTTTTTTTTAATCTCTTTGGCTGCAGCTTTGCTTTACGTTTTTATTAACCACTTTTTAAATGAGGAACTAATATGTCTCAATCTCCAACAGCACTATCCGGGTGTCCAGCCGGCAGACGTAGAGGAAGTTGTGAAGAAGGGGGTGAAGACACTGGTGATTGGCCGTGGAATGAGCGAGGCGCTACAGGTGGGTCAGAAGTTAAATCCGTGTTCTCCTCTACATTTTTAAGAAAGACAACTCCTGCACATCCATGATGCAGTAATGGGCCTTCCTGTGAATGCCCCTGGTCATTTTTCATGTAAGCCTTTGTTTTGCCATTTCTGAGGTCTTGGCTGACACTCTAATATTAGCCTATACATTTGGCTCCATGTTGGCTGAGCTTGGAAAGTTTTCCGATTCTACTCCACTGTGGGCAAAGCCGATCCCTGTGTAGTGAAGAAAAGTTTCCTGGTCAGGGACCCATCACATCCCCATTTTATAATGCAGATTAAACTGTTTAGTGCTGAACTAGGGCCAGCAGTGAGTGGTATGGGGAAGTGATGCACAGAAATTGGGTTGAGTTTTCTGTTAGCGAGAAGTCCACCTAGTTGCTGCCCAGGAGCTTCAGATCTGCCTGGAGATTGATAATCCAATGTTGGGAGCCTTGAGATGGGTGTGAGATGTGTCTTGAGCGGAGATCAAGACTCCCCTGTAACATTCAGGAGCTGAGAACTGGGGATTAAAGCAGAAGCTTCACCCAAAAGGGGTGAAGTTCTATTTGTTTGCACTCTGCTGTCTCCTCCACTGCAACATTTGGAATTTGGGGGGGGGGGTGTTACCTTTTGGACAGGTAACTGCTCCCACGCGCGGAAGATGTCAAGCAGTCAGATGCCCACGAGTGATCTGATCCCAAAGTTCGCTCCCCTGACTTCCTTCACAGTGCCCAAAAGACCTTACTTTACCTCTTCACGCCGGCTAAATGTATGGCCTGATGTCTGGGCCTAGATGCCGAGAGCGAGCCCAGCAGCATTTGCGTTCTAGTAAAAAGAACATTTGTGTGAGAGCGCGCGCCCTGCACGCTCCCCACACATGTCCTAATACCAACGATGGGGCACTAGGTTCCAATCTCCTCTTTGACGATTGGGACACTTTCCCCCCCCACTGACGCCAACGATGGGGTCACATTCCCTCCCCCCACTGACGCCACCGATGGGGCACTATTCTCCCCCCAAAGGGCCGGGATGGGGCACAATTCCTCCCCCCCCTGACATGCCCACGATGGGCTTATTAAGAATCCTCCCCCTCGCTGATCCCTGGACAGGTGAGGGTCCTTAGTATTTGTAGCTGCTGACTTTTAATTTTTTTGGGGGGAACCTGGAGCACCACTAACTTTACAGCACTTCTGCAAGTTCATCCAGTCAGGGTACAGTCAGACTACAGACTCTCGTAGAGGACATCCTGCCTTTTGCTCCACCATTGCCAGGTGGATTAGACAACTTACCTGCAGGGCTTACTCTCTTAGGAACAGAGTTCCTCCTTTCCCTATCAGAAAATAATTTCACTAGATCTATTGGTGTCTCTTGAGCTTTCCAGCATCAAGCACCTGTTTCCCAGATTTGTAAGGCCATCACCTTGTCCTCTGTTCATATAGTAGGTTCTACTAGGTGGATATGAGCTTCAATTGCAAGTTGCTTCAAGCTGTCATCTGAGGTTTTTTTTTGGGGGGGGGGGTTCTTACCTTTTGTGTTTTCGGTCTGTTGCTATGTTGCCCACTCTTCAGTTTATTGCTTGGGTACATCCAATGGTTTATGACTACTGCCTTGTGTCCTAAAGATAAAGGGCGTTTTTTTATTATTCACCTGTAAACTCCTCATGTTGGGGTACAGTACAAGATCCAGGATTGTAATCACAGACCAGAACAGAATTGCCAACTAGGGTTATAAGGGTGTGCACTGGGTACAGCCCTAGCAAAGTTCCTTGCCAGTATCTAGTCACCTGAAGGTAGCCTGCATAACCCAAGATGAGGAATTTACAAGACCGAATTTCCTTTTATTATTCATGTCTTGTCAAGGAGAGTGCCAGGTTTAAGGTACCAATAACTAACCAATACTTTTTATCAATTACTATTTCTTTGTTCTAGGTGCCACCCTCTACTCTAGAGTACATCAAATCCCAGGGCATCGATGTGCTGGTTTTCCAGACTGAGAAAGCGGTGAAGGAGTACAACAGTTTGGTCTCACAAGGAGCCCGAGTGGGGGGTGTTTTCCACTCCACCTGCTGAACGGCCAGTGCTGATGCTACGTACTGGGGCTCTGTCTGGTGTACATGGTTGGGTATCAATGACTAATGGAAGGATGGACAGCTGCCCAGTACCTAAAGATAATTTTGTCTCTCTCCAGTTACAACTGGATCCCTGCCCTGTGTTTTCTATGATGAATATAAGAACTGCTAACTGTGCCTCTTCCACTGCTGCTCATAAGTCTAGTATACACAGGTGGTAATTCTGTATTTCATTTACTTACAGCAGTGAAAGCAACTATAAAACTGGTCCTATGGACATTCGCCCTTAGAATGGTGTTTTCCCCCCCTAAAAGCTTCAACTTTCTTAAACAAGAAAAATTATATTTTTAATTAGAACAATATTTTTGAACGGAGATGGCCATCAATGAGCTTTTCATGAAATAACATTTACTGCTAAAAAATAAATTCTTGGGGTAATCGCAAAAATTGGGCCTCAAGTTATGAATCTGGTGTAAGCAATGTCTTCTCATCCACAAATCCTATCACTGCTTTCTTCCATTGCCTTTCTGATCTCCTGTGTCATCAGCTGCTTATATCACAAGGGCGCACTTTTTTTTTCTCCAATGATAAGTGGACTTCCAATCTAAAAAAAATTTCTGATGGTGGAGGATTAGAGATGCACCAATAACGCCAACAGGGAGGAGAGTTCTAAAATATGGTGCTTTTCTACATTTTCGGAAGGAGGTGCATGGGGAAACCATATGGATTGCCTCCATGTTGGATGAATCTTTTTGTAATGTTTATACAGATTTATTTTGAATTTTAATGCATGAATGAGAGTTTCTGTTTTTCCCAATTTAGAAAATATTTAAAGATTCTTCTGCAACATTGTCCTATAATAAATTGGTTTACAGAACAAAAAGTTGGTTCTCCAGTTTTATTCAACAAAGTGTACCCTGATACAGTGGTTCTCAACCTGTGGAACCTCAGGACCCACATGTGACGGGAGTCTCTTTTGGGTGGGGGGCCCATGGAACACAGCTCACTTTGGAGAGGTGGGGAGACCCCTGTCTCAGCTCCCCATATCCCTAATATGTGCAAGTCACCTTGTGCCTGTTAGGGGTACAGGGTGATCTGTCCTAATATTGGGGTGGGGGTTGTTGATTGTTTAATGCCATGTGGTTGCGTTGTTCTATTGTGTGTCTTGCTTGGGAGCAAACTATTATGGGATGTATGTGTTTGTGTATTCGCTTAGTGGGGGGTGTCTCCAGCAGCCTTCCCTCCTGATGGGACTGTTTGTTGGTGTGAAGTTTGAATACCTGTGTGTCTCATTACTAAATGTAGATTGCCCCGCCCTGTGTCATTATGCAGGGAGGGGGGATATGCCCCCTGAGTGTATAAAAAGCCAGTTTGAGTTTCAAATAGAGTTCCATGTTCAGACAGACTGGTTTCGTCTAGTCTTGTATGGTCAGCGGTGGTGTCGGTGTTTGGACGGGGAAGCGGTAGTCTAACGGAAGTACCCAAGCGCAGACTGAGTCGGTTCCGTTACATTACACCACATTTGTCCTTTGTCATTAAGTCGCGACCCAAAAATAATTTAATTTCTGAAACATAATTTATTCCACAAAACAACTTGTGCAGTATTCTATAATGTATATGCACACCTTTATAAACTGTAAACAAATGGCCTCCTTCCAAAATGGATAGTGCAGTCATCGCATCGCTAGTGAAAATAAAAGTGCTATTGAGGTAAAAACCCAATAAAATAAACGGTAATTGAAACATATGCAAATAATTAGAACTAATGGGAAAACTGGGGATGCTACTTGTTCTTGATAAGTGTCTCAAAGTCTGGGGTGATGGTAGGGGCATTAACCACTTCAGTGACTGTTGGGTTATACTGCTGCTACATGAGATTTAGGTCACGGCAAAATAAAACAGCAAGCCAGTCCAGTGTAACTCCTTCTCTCAGCATGGCTCAGCTATTTGCTAGAGCACTAGGATGATGGACGCTATTTCTGCAGTTTGCAGAGAAAAGTCTAACCTTTTTTTTTTCTCTAGCCAATAATTTCTCTTACTTTTGTCTTCACTCAAGATACACTATGTTGCTCCAAGTATTGGTTGGCCGGCCTTTACACAAACATGAACTTTAATGGCATCCAAGTCTTAGTCCATAGGGTTCAATATTGAGTTGGCCCCGCCCTTTGCAGCGATAACAGCTTCAACTCTTGTGGGAAGGCCGTCCACAAGGTTTAGGAGGGTGTCTATGGGAAGGTTGGACCATTCTTCCAGAAGCACATTTGTGAGGTCAGGCACTGATGTCGGGGGAGGAGGTCTGGCTCACAGTCTCCACTCTAATTCATCCCAAAGGTGTTCTATGGGGTTGAGATCAGGATTCTGTGCAGGTCAGTCAAGTTCCTCCACCCCAAACTCCCTCATCCATGTCTTTATGGATCTTGTTTTGTGCACTGGTGTGCAGTCATGTTGGAAAAGGAAGGGGCCATCCCCAAACTCTTCCCACAAAGTTGGGAGCATGAAATTGGCCAAAATATGTATGTTGTAAAGCGCTGCATAGACTGTTGGTGCTATATAAATCCTGTATAATAATAATAATAAAATGTCTTGGTATGCCAACGCCTTAAGAGTTCCCGTCACTGGAACTAAGGGGCCAAGCCCAACCCCTGAAAAACAACCCCACACCATTATCCCCCCTCCACCAAACTTTACACTTGGCACAATGCAATCAGGCAAGTACCATTCTCCTGGCTACCGCCAAACCCAGATACGTCTATTGGATTGCCAGGCAGAGAAGCATGATTGGTCGCTCCAGAAAACACGTCTTCACTGCTCTAGAGTCCAGTGGCGGCGTGCTTTACATCACTGCATCCGCCGCTTTGCATTGTACTTGGTGATGTAAGGCTTGGATGCAGCTGCTCGGCCATGGAAACCCATTCCATGAAGCTCTCTACGCACTGTTGTTGTGCTCATCTGAAGGCCACACCAAGTTTGGAGGTCTTTAGCTATTGACTCTGCAGACAGTTGGCGACTTCTGCGCACTGTGCGCTTCAGCATGCGCTGACCCCGCTCTGTCATGTTATGTGGCCTACCACTTGGTGGCTGAGTTGCTGTTGTTCCCAGTTGCTTCCACTTTGTTATAATCCCAGTTGAGCATGGAATATTTAGTAGCCAGGAAATGTCACGGATGGACTTTTTGCACAGGTGGCCACCTATTACGGGACCACGCTTGGAGTCACTGAGCTCCTGAGAGCGACCCATTCTTTCACAAATATTTGTAGAAGCAGTCTGCATGCCTAGGGCTTGATTGTATACACCTGTGGCCATGGAGGTGATTGGAACACCTTAATTCAATGATTTGGAGGGGTGTCCCAATACTTTTGGCAATATAGTGTACCTCTACCTACTTCTTCAGTTGATCTCTATATGCAGATATATAAACTGACATATCTCCAGCATTAGCTTTTATGGTTGTATCTGGACCCCACTGGACTAACGAATTGCAGAGCTAGCCTGTAATGTGACCTGCCTACACTGGGCTCAAACTGTGGCACTTTCCAGGTCCAGCAGTGGCACAGTCTCTGGTGTGAGCCTGTCTCTGAAGACTTACTTTATGAGTAGGCAGTGTGGGCCAAGCATTACTAAGACCATTGGGTATCATTTAATACCCCCACTTCAGCCAGTTTATTGCGGACAGGGTTAATGCTGAGGGCTGTCATTGCACAATGGCTCCCACACACTCCTTGTGCTTTTACCCACCATTTAACATTGAGGCATCACCTTCCTGCTTCAGCTCCTAATTGCAAGTGATAAATGGATATCTTTGGTTGGTCCCTGCTGCCTGCCTACAGAGACCTGGTCCTCCTCATCTGTTTGAACCTCTCTTGCTACCAGCAGTAGGTTTGTGAATATTTGAAGACTAGTCTTGTCCCAGTTGTGGAGTAGAAAATGTCCTACTTTAGCCCCATGGGGAACAGTCAAGGTCCTCCAGCTCAGGGTCCGGGAGTTCCACAAAGATCTGCATGACTTTATGGGCCAAACTGCAGCTTTTATCTGACTGAAACTGACTGCAGTGGCCACAAACATACTTCTACACCTCAGGGCCAGATCTAGCCTGTCTGATACAGTAAAAAAAAAAAAAAAAGTCTGGGGGTCAGTAGTGTGACAGGGATGCATAGAACCAGTATTCCCTGTTCACTCAGCACACTTTTGTACCACGGAGTCATAACCTGGAAGTAACATTTTACAGGTGATGCAGGAGTGAACTGGGAATGCTGTCATTAGTTTAGGGTGATTAAACAGAACCTGTGACCCCCTATGTCAGGCGTCCCTAACAAAGCCCTCCTTAGATCAGGAGTTCTTCTCAGAGTTCCTCCTTACATCAAAGTTCCTATTACAGTCCTTCCTTACATCAGGTGTCCTCACCAGAGTGCCCCTTTACATCAACTGTCCCCATCAGAGTGTCCCCTTACATCAACTGTCCCCATCAGAGTGTCCCCTTACATCAACTGTCCCCATCAGAATGCCCCCTTACATCAATTGCCCCCTCAGAGTAGCCCCTTACATCAATTGCCCCCCTCAGAGTGCCCCTTTACATCAACTGTCCCCATCAGAATGCCCCTTTACATCAACTGTCCCCATCTGTGCTCCCTTTCATCACCTGTCCCCATCAGAGTGCCCCCTTACATCAACTGTTCCCATCAGAGTGCCCCCTTACATCAACTGTCCCCCTCAGAGTGCCCTCTTACATCAATTGCCCCTCTCAGAGTGCCCTCTTACATCAATTGCCCCTCTCAGAGTGCCCTCTTACATCAACTGTCCCCATAAGGTCTCATGGATTTGTGAATTCACTCTAGAAGGTCTAGGGGTGCACAACTAAAATCTGGGGGGGGGCATAGCCCACCCCAGCACCCACGAGATCCGGGCCTACTACGCCTTCCCCTGCAGGATCTTTATCTAACCTCACTACGGCCTTAGGACCGTAGGAGGTTTCAGTCACAAAGACTCTTTCTGATGTGGAGTCCC